GGCACAGGTGGGAGGGTATCTCTTGTTAAAGTTGAATGCAGAGTTCAAGATTTACCCGCAATTCCAAACCAGAAAACGACTGACTCACGAATTCCTGTTAGGTATCAATAACAGTGAAAACGACCCAGCAAAAGTCACAGCAATGCTGCAAGAGGCGAAGCAGATCTGCTATGACCAAGGACAACATGCGATTCACCTCATCTTTTGGACACGGGAGATGGCAGCTAAATGTAGCCAACAGTTCCGATCGCTGACATTTCGAAACAGAAGATTCCCACTGGTCAATGCTCATGAGATAGAGCAACCGGTTCAGACGAAAACAGAATCGAGATCAATGGCTGTTTGGAATCGTCAAGTGGGAGCGGACGGTCTTCGCAATGAGCTTCCAAGGGACAGATACCATGTCCGCCTGATAAACCTGTCTAGGTTCTTAGATGAAGCGGCAACTGATGCGTACATCCAGAAGCGGTTCCAGGGGACCTACCAAACTTGGCAGGAACCAACAATAACAGGTCAGATTCCTCAGACACGTGGGATATATTCTTCAAAAGTAGTCACTGTTCCCAGTTTCTGGAAGTGATTCGGTTCATTAACTGGGATGGAACGAAGATCCTGGTTCAGCATGTCAGTAAATCACCAGCCTCTCCTTGTTTTTCGTGCGGAGCGGTGGGCCACATGAGGACGGGGTGTACGGCGACGGACGAATTTTGGAGACGGCATTACAATCTAACAGTGACAGCGAAAGAAATTGAGAGTCTTCCAAAGCAACAATCAACAGTAATTAGCGTGGAAGCACTAGACATGCTGTGGGTGGGAACGCAACAACAAGCCGAATCGACGGGAAGGACAACACAGACCCAGCCAGGCGAGTCTCAGGAAACGCAGCTGAAGGATACTTCCGAACAAGTAAGTCCAATAGTACGAATCCTGCATAGAGAAATGGTACAGCAAAAAGCGGCCAAAGTAACGCTGAGTGGAGAACGGTTGGAAAACTGAGTACCACTCCGGAAGAAGTGGAAAGCAGCAGGGTAGCGACGTCACAGACCCAGAAAGACACGTTCAGCAGACAGGAGGAACTCAAAGCAGGACTAAAAGCGCAGTCGAAACCCAACAGGAGCTCTAGAGAACATAAGGCAGCGGAGGTGGAGCAGGACACTAGCAGGAGCTCAGGAGAACATAAGGCAGTGGAGGTGGAGCCGGATACTGAAGAGAAGCTAGAATCTGGAACAGGGGGCAAAAGAGATAAAGGGAGAGGGGAGGAATGGCACGGGAGTACCATTTCGGAAGCAATTAAAGAAGCAATGAGGCAGAGTTCACAGGCGATGACGAAACACAGGGGCCTAATTGAGAAATTGGTGTCTGAAAGATATACCGAAGTCGATCAAAGCGCTTTCGAGAAATGCAGCAAACTCAAATTGAGTCAATACCAAAAAGAGCACCGTACCGGTAATGAGGTGACGCGGGACTGTGGACTGCAAGAGATGAGTACTCCTATGGCGGGTAACTGGCAATGGCTTTGTTAAACAAGACCTTTGACACTAAGGAAAATGTGGAGACATTGGAGATCTTGACACGGAAACTAAAAAAGGGGATAACCGCAGCATCTAATCACTTCTTCGATCAAGAGTTTCCTCATGATCAACGTTCATCTATTCTTAAAGCTTTAGCCATTCGGGAGCAGGAAGCGACTGCTACCAATCTTCCAACGTTTAACGCTATGGAATCATCACGCCAATACAAATAGCACCTGGTGTCTCTCTGTAAATCGACAGTGAAGCTGGATGTACAGTTGCCGACACGGTTTTGGGAAACGGCGGAGACACTGAGAATGCTATCCAAGCTTCTGAAAAGAATTTTTTTTCGTTATTCTGGCAAGCACGGGGATGGAGAATGCTAGCTACCAAGTGTTTGAACCTGCGGAGGTAAGAGTGCCAGGGAAGAGGTTTTTGTCGGCCAAAGAGCGAAATATGCCAAAAGGAAAGCTACAAAGGTGGGTGCAGGCTCTACAGCAGGAGGTTATGGCAGGAAATGAGAACTCGGTCAACCCAATTGTACTAGCATACAATGGCAACCACTACAGCTGGATGAAATTTCAGAACATCAAGGAAAACTCAGAGGAGAAGCTACTGGCGCGACGGCGAGAAAGCAGGAAACCACCAACCCATCATTAACATTTTCATCAGCACTAGAGGCTGATATAGCAATGGAAGAAGTGGAAAATGAGACCGATGAAATAACGGGTAACAGCACAACGACTCAAACGATGGTCGACAAAATAGAACGAGAAGAAAATGAGGAATCTGGGGGTAATCGACTACATGAACTATCAGCATTTCCAACGGACGGATTGGAAAGGATGGCACCAGGGAAACGGTCAGCTTTGCGAGAAGAGAATTTAACTGATACAGCGACATTGGATCGGTGGGCAAAAGAGTTTGATGTTACAAGGGAGAATATACAGGAATGGCAGAATCACTTCAGACTCAGAGGACTGACAGCGACATGGACTAATTCGCAATCGAGTGAGGTTTCAGACCAAGGATCAGAATGGTCCCCTCCGTCAAGAGAAATGGATATTCAGGAAGGTCGCTTGGATAATGAGCAAGAGGGAAGAAGAACTGGCAGATTTATTGGAATGACAGGCAACTTGGGGATGAACCGATTGACAGAACATGTGTTAAAGATCGAATGGAACGACTTGAAGGAATCTTGGCAAGGTGCTACGACAGCAGAATTTCCAACAATGCCCATGTCCATTGCTAAATAGAAATTGGTAGGCCCCTCAAGAATTGTTGCGGTTGCTTCAGCATTTTCAGTCACCTGATTACATCCTTAGCACGATGACGGAGGCTATCCTGGATGAATGGACTTTAAAGTCAAGGCGAGAGTGTTTAGTTGCAAGTATCACTAATATCATTCAAAAAAACATCTTCAGAAAAGCTTAAAAATTGGCTTGCGGAATGGAGGATGGAGCTCACAGATCCAGACCGAATCAGTATGGATCGGTACAACATCTACAACAGAGCATTTTGGGGACCAATTAAAAAGAAGAAGTATGCAAATTCTGAGCTTCTTAAACTTTGTAGAGAAGCGGACCGTCAAAAGATGTCGAGACTTATAGTATCGGCTTACGTGTACCAAGCTGAACTACAGACTTTGGCAGGGAATCAAGGAGCTACGATGGAGAGTATTATGGATCATCTTAACGTGCCGTTTGAAATCCTAAAGGTCAATCCGGACTTACATGCAGCGATGAATGGAGCTGATACTGTTGGTTGTTGGGCGATTCTGGAGACTAAATTCGCACAATCAACCTTAGAAAATCTGGGGCCTGGAAGAATCCAGCGGGTAACGGCTCAGTAAGTGTCAGTACAAGAAGAATGTAGAGAACTGCCAGACGGTGATTATTATGCGGAACT